AACTATTTCACAATACTAGTAAACGTAGTTAAAAGTAGTTTTTATGGTTAAAATGATAAAAAATTATTACAACTTTTCAAGATTACTCCAATGAAAATCAATGTACTAGTATATCTTAATTACTTTTAATGTTTTTTTTTTCATAGTCTCTCTTTTAATTTGTTTAACATAGTCTCTTTATAATACAATTAATAAGGACATTTATGAAAAATAAGATACTAAAGCTATTGGCTTTTCGCAAGATGAGTTATATTTCGGACCATGAAAATTTCTTATAAGATTTCTTATGTTCAAAATCATTGTACTCAATGAGTTCAAATTTTGACATAGTACACAAGGTAAAAAAGAAAAAAAGTTGACATAGCAAAAAATCACAAACGATTGAACCGGTTAAAGTATTACTCATATTCATCGACAACATTTAATTATCAAACCATGACCTAGTTGTTATTGAATTGATTGCAACTGATCAAAGTAATATATTTTAAAATAGTTAGTTTTTAACATATACTAACCAACTATTACCTCTAATTATTAATATAAGATCTAATTATACTGCAAACTACTAATATTAATAATCGGAGGTAGTATTTTAATATGAATGTTTGTGTGAAAAACTTTTTAAAAAAAGAATATTGAAAAAATAACGAATAAAACTATAAGTAAATATTTTGTATGTTAAGAAAATATAAATGAAATAATTATAACTATTTTGATGTGTTGCAATAGTAAATTCGCTACCATACCGATCCCTTGGGTAAGATCCCATTCGAAGTCCTTTGCTAACAAGGACAAACTAATTTCTAGTATTGTAACCACACAATAATATCATTGCTTGCTAGAATTTTAGATTAAGGAACGACAACGAAAGTTGAAAGAGTGAAGAGAAACATTTCCTTGATTAGTTTATAAAGGCACCAAACTCATGGAATAGGGGAGCACAATGGGACAAGGTAAGGAATTAGTGCTCAGGTCTTGAAATTTGCAAGCTTCTGCCATCAAATTCTTCTCAATGTCATAAAAGTAGACATGAACAAACACCTTCATCAACAATACCCCGTCTTTGAAGCTTAAAGGATCCATCCATGGATTTTGGTGCAAACCTGCTCTTCGCAAAACATGGTTCTTCAAATTGCAGAAGAACTTGGGATTTTCCCTTTCAATATCTTCCAATGATTTCCAAAACTTGAGTTCCCATTTAGCCTCATAGTAATCTTCAAGATACCACACGTGAAGACCATTCTCTGTTATCATGACATAGCAAAGGATCCCTTTCCACTCTCCAATACAAGCTTCAGGTATGGCCTTGAACTCTCCTGATGGGATTGGTGTTGAAATTACCAAAGATAATTCCTTGTCAAGATTAAAAGTGAGGATATGATCTGCATCAGTGAGCCAATACAAGACATTCCCAATGTAAATTCCTTGCTTCTTGATTGAACCGTGGTCGTAATGGCATATCTCATTTGATTTCTTCCATAACTTTGTTGTTGATGAGTATAATTCAAATGTGAAGTATTGCGATAATTCAACCTTGTCCTCATCTTCTTCATCCTCATTCTCGGTCTCAATCTCAAACTGCTTCACCCTTACCACGTGGAAGTTGGTGGAGACGTCTATGGGGTCTTTGTATGGGTCAAAAGTCAACACTATGCTTTCATGTTTGTTATAGTCAGGACAATCCAAGGTAATCCATTCTTTGTTTGTGGGGTTGCAAACATAAAGAGTTGTCTTCGTAGAAGAAGATAAGAAACAGCAACTGCGACAGCAAAGTAGACCATTGCATGAAGACAAGACAACAACATCTTCAGGGAGGAAACTGAACATTTTGTGGTGAATTATGGATTTTGACCTTGTGCTCTGCTCATTATGATGTCGATCAAGGGAGGTAATGTTCATATAACTGATAGTTTTTATGTCTTCGTTGCTGCACCTGAACTTTTCTTGAAAAATGAAGCCTGACAATGTTGGCTCTGTCTCTTCCAGATGAACTTTGATGAAGGAACGATTGTTAGAGATAATGTTGTACCATTCCTCAGAAACACACCTAAAACCAAGCAAGATCTTCACTGGAACACGAGATAGAACATTAAAGAGGCTGTCAATGTCCAACGACCCATGAAAATTCTTCATATCCTACAACACCAAAGAAAATTGAAGCAGGCTCAATTCAAATCCGTTTTAGACTATGTGCCGAATCAAGTCGGTGCTAGTTTTTGAAAGAATTGCAACTTTATTTCACCACTGAGTTGCATCAATAAATTTGCTTAAATTCAATTTCCGGAAACAGTTTTTTCCTGTCTAATACAGGTGTTGCAGATGAATTTCCAACTTGAGCAAACATTTCCTAATTCCAACAAGTATCTACGAAATATTTTCGTTCCACAATCCTCAATAAGCAGAACTTCTAGTCATTATTTCAACCAGTTGAAGAGAATTTACCTCTCCAGGCAAAACTACTGCTTTGTTCTTACCTATGTTATTCACTTTTGATTTTACTTCTATTTAGTTTTTCTTTTCAATAGTCTTAAGAACAGCTAATCGAAGATCACACAAACCCAAAAACACAGCTTCATAACTACCCAATTCCTCCATTTTACAGACCCTATGCATGGAAACAAAGAATCAAAATAATGAGACATTACCCTTATGCTTTCACACCCGACCCTCTCGAGCTCTCAGCTCCCAGTTTCGCTACGATGATTCTTTTTTCACTCTTTCTAGCAAACCAAACAGATATCGACTTGAGATTTAGTAAATTAGAAAAAGGCAAGCAATCCTCTTTCTCTTATAACCTTCCGCGTCGGCCAAATGAGAAAGGAAATAAAAGAAATAGCTCACTACTTAGCTGCTCTAATACCAGTAATTCTTCACATAAACCGGACAGGACCTCATCGATCTGAAGAACATCAGAACTTAAAGGAGGAATCGCAAGAGCTCACGCAAAAAAATTTGAAGAGCAGGCGAAGAAACGGAAACCAAAAGCACAGAGCGATATGAAAGATTTCGGAAAGCAGGGGTCATCAAAAGCTCGCCCGAAGTTGGAAAACCAAAGCGCAGAGAAATATGAAGAAGATGTCCAGAAACCAGGGGTCACCATTTAAAGCTCGTGCTAATCAGAAATATTGATGAAAAAGGTAAAAAGCTTAGAGAAAGACATTGAACCTGCTGTTTTTGCTGTTGTTCCATCCTTGAGTTCCTACACTGTCTTCTTCCTCTTCTCTATCTTCCTCTCGAGCTAAATCTCGACTACCTTACCTTCCTGAGATTCCGATCAGAAGTATAAAAATCAAAAGAAGAAAACGCCACAAAGCACAACTTCACTTGCATTAATTCCCTTTTACTCACTTTTTTCCTGCTAACCAACCACACTCATTTTTGCATATAAACACCATGAACTCAACAATGAATAATTAAAGCGCAGCTCATCCGAAGAGCGTTCAAAGCAGAGAACGAGAAATCCAAAATGCGTCGTTAGTTTGTTAACTTCGGCTCGCCACAACACTGGCACCGCAATTCGAATGGCAGGGCGTTAGTGGGATGGGAGTACGGAATATAAACGTGGACTGTAGAATCTGAATCGACGTCCGGTGCATGAGTGGCCTGCAGCAAAATGGTGTGAGCCAAAAAAAAAAGTCAGAATTTTAATTCTTTTTTTTCTTTTCCATTTTATGATTATGTGTGTGTTGTCTGTGTTGATAGCACTTTCTCTCTTTTTATAATATCTCTTTTAAATTTCTCTGAATATTTAATGTATTATTATCTATTTTATTTTTAGTTTAATGCACTTAATATATTTTCTTTTTTAATTTATCTCATTATTACTTTTTTATATTTACCCATTTATATATAGGGGTATATTTGACAAAAAAAATTACATTTGCTACATATTAATTAATTTTAACTAATTTTAACTGCTTTCTTAAACTATGTAATTTAGTTAAAAGGATCTTATAATAAGAAACAGAGTAGTAGTTAAGAATTTAAGATGTCTTGATTAGATTGTTTTATTTATTCATCTAGATTTATTATTGTTGCTAATCATCTTCGTTTTGGGATTTTAAATGTCAATCATTAATGAGTTAAGGTGCTTTGATCATACTTTTGTCTTTTCGAAATACTTAGATATCCAAACGCTTAGCTATTTTCATAAATTTCGGCCAAAAAAAGGTTAAGATTTTAAATTAAATTTATTATTTTATTAAACTATTGAAAATAATGATTGGATCTCTGATTAAAAGTTTAATGATTAAATCTATATTAAAAACAATAAATTATTTTAACCCCAAAACTTTATCTTCAGTTACTGTTTAGGTGCTGATGAGATTGTGGGGGGAAAAAGTTGATGATAAATAATTTCTTTGTAATAAAAACCTGTCATGCTTTTCCTGATATTTCGGTTATGCAGTGCCTTAATATGAGTATGCTTAATTAGCCTAATGCTGTATACAGAATCAGGAGATACACAGGGTGTTAAGACGTAAGACAATACTTGACGAAGGGCCATTAATTGCACGTTAAGATTTCTCTTAGTGTTCTGACTTGGGTTTAAGATAAAGTAAATCTTGAGTGTTAATAAGCAAGGTCATCAACAGAGGAGAGATAGCCTACAGTTTTAAATTGAAACATATTTTTAAAAAAAAAAAATTGGAACACGAACAATTAAAATTAAAGACAGAAATATTTATTAAAAATCAGTTCGTGGAGTATGAAAGTATTACAAAAGATAAAACTAAATGCAATTTTAATTTTTCAAAGAGAAATAGAATGTTCCAACATTTTCTACACATTTAAATTAAAAAATAGATAATTGGGCCTAAAATTAACTATTTGTTTTATTAATTAGTAATCAATTAGATGGCGCCACGTCAACTCGCGGGGATAGCTCAGTTGGGAGAGCGTCAGACTGAAGATCTGAAGGTCGCGTGTTCGATCCACGCTCACCGCATCTTCCTTTTTAATCTTCCAATGATGAAATTCTTTTCCAAATTCCCCTTTCCTAGCTTTCATTCCCGAACGTCCAAACCGTTCGATTTTCGCTTAATTTTCACAAATCCGAATCGCCCTCCCTCAAACCCTGATTCTCCAATCTCCGTTCGATTTTCCGCTTCTATCTTGAAAAATTTGTACGGAATACCTCTTGATCTTTTAACTCTCTTCTGCTTCCGACGTCTCCATAAGGGCGATGGCTTCTAGAGGAGCAAACATGATGCTATCAAGGGCCAATAGGATAAAGACGAAGTTACAGTCAGCACTGGAAGCCACAGTTTTGGAGGTAGAAGACGTGTCGTACCAGCATGCGGGTCATGCTGCCATGAAAGGAACCTCCGGGCAGGAGACCCATTTCAACCTGAAGATCGTCTCCCCCAAATTCGACGGCCAGAGTCTCGTGAAACGGCACCGTATGGTCTACGACTTGCTCGCGGATGAGCTTCAATCTGGATTGCACGCCCTCTCTATTGTGGCCAAAACGCCTCAGGAAACCTCTGCCAAATGAAGTTTTTGCTTTAAACTGTGAGGGTTGAAAATTGGAATCTTTTGATTCTGTTTTCTGGTTATCTATTTGATTAGGATAGGGCAGATTTCATGCCATGTGCTTCGAGCCGTCAACAATCACCTGATGAACAAACGATCTAGTTTTCGATATTCTTATTGTTATGATAGTTTTAGACCTGAGTCTTCACTGTCTCCTATGTTTGATTTAATCTATCGTTATAACATTTTGGGAAGGATGGTCCAAAGTAGAAGGAAAATTGAAGTCTTTTGAACAAGAAGCAGCATTTCTTTTTTCCATTTTGGATGTTTGCATTAGCTTTTTTTTGTTGTGTTGTCTGATTTCAATTTGCTTTGAATCAATCACGCACTTATTAGTTTTTGATTGAAATAAGTTACTATGCCTAAGTTGACTCCACTTTCTTCTGGATTATGCCGTAAATGAGCGATCAAACTTAACTCAGCACTGCATTTTTCTTTACTCAACTCTTAAAACTTAACTCAGCTGTCCCAAACTGTCTATCATGTGCCCAGTTTAGGTACTCTTTCGAGTGTTTTCTGTAAGAATCGAGGGAAGGAAGAACTTTTCTTAAGAAGAGGGAATTCTCGCATTTCACAATTTACTTTCTAATTTGTGCTAATGTATTTTCGTATTGTATTCCAAACTTGTGTGTCTGTCAGTGTTTCTGGACGACCTCTGTTTTCTAGACAGCATTTTAATCCGGCTTCCATGATTTTGCTTTTCCATTTCTTTGTCTTCCCTTCAAATGCTTTTCGTATGAGTTCATGTAATCATTCCTCGGAGTTTGCATGGTTTTCAAATATACAAGGGCTGTTTGAAATCGCAAGGGAGAGTAAAAAGTACAGGAACATTGTACAAATGTGGCTCAACGGTGAACTATTTCTTTCATTTCCTCCTTCATTTGTTTAAACCTCATATAGGCAGAGTTTTTCTTTCATATGAGAGAAATAATCGCTTTCCTTTTCCTCCTTTGCAAATTAGCAAGGGTCTGTTGTTTGGTTAGCAAGAAAGAATGAAAAATGAATAATGACAACGAAATTGGGAGCTGAGAAGTGAGAACTTGAGAGGGTCGCGTGAGAAAGCATAGAATTGGGTTTGAAATTGGCTGATGTTGACTTGTTTAGTTTGAAATAATGGTTGGAACTCTTACATGAAGCAAATAGAATTCAAGCTTATGGACATACACCCACTTGTTCCCCCTGAGGAGTTCAATGTAAACCATGAAATTGCACCTACATAAGCTAAAAGAGCAATTTAAGTGACGTCGAGTTCAGTGATGATGAGAACTGGGGAAGCAAGTATAAACGTGTTTTATTTGAAGGCCTTTGGGTAGTTTCTGAGCATAGCGTTCTTGCGAAGCGATGATCCCCTTCTTTTGATCCTTTTCATCATCCTTATTGTAGGATTGCCACTTGGGTGCGAATACCATACATACCCCTTCACTGCTACACGAAGAGGATCATCTGGAGACTTGGAAATATGATGGGCACTACCATTAAAGTAGATATGGACACCATAGCTAATATGGAGGATAGCATAACCAAGGTTGAACGAGGAGGTTTGGACGTATTTGCATCGAAATTGACTTGCAAAAGTAGTTTGTGCCTTGAGTTACTCGTGTGTCAGATCTTTTCAACGTGGAGTACGAAGGCTCAGGGCTCATATGTTCTGTTTCTTGGCAATATGGACATAGAAAAGAAGATTGCCCATGAAAAAGAAGCTCAAGTTCAGTCTCTACACTGTCGGCACACCCAGCTGAAACCACTACACCAAGTAAATTACTTTGGGCTACTTCAAATAGGTCATCAAATTGAAATATGGTCTACTCTACCGAGGCATTCTTCCACGGATCACGTTGAAGTGTGCTGATGGCCTTGTTAAGAAGGCGCACGAAGGGAACACGGTTTTGTCCTTCCTGTGTTGTGTGATTTTTGCTACCCTCTTATTTAACCTTTTAAGCTTGATGCTTGCCTTTGTATCACAAAATGAAATAACGGCTCGAACTTGTCCTCCTCTTTCTGCTGCGCGTTTTGTGAAAATCCTTGAACTTGTATTGTTGAGGGCTGTGGGAGGAAATTATTTCCTAGATCCTTGTTGGAACTAGTTAAAATTAAAATGATTAAAACAAATCAATACTAAACACACAATTTTGTTTAAGACCAACAGAAAATTTTGTAAGAATGATTATTAATTGAATTTTGAATTTCTTATTAATTAATTTCATTCAAGCTTTTTCTCCCTATCAATTTAAGATATACCTTATTGGATATTTTTATATAATTTTGAATTTATATGATGATATTGTTTTATTTATTATTATTTGAAAAAATAAATAAATTTGCTTGAATTTATATGATAATATTTTTTATTCATTATTATTTGAAAAAATAAATAAATTTGCAGTCATTGTCAATTTGAATTAAGAAAAAGAAAGAATGCCGTAGCAACTTTTTTTTCCCGATGTATTATACCATCTTATTATACAGATACACAACAATTTTATCTCATATTTAACTTGAAATAAATTAGTTAAGTAAGTTGTTACTTTTAGGGGGTTTCTCTTAAATATTAAATTCACTTGTCATTTTCATATTTATTTATTTGTTTATTTTATGTCTACAATTAAGTTTTATATAACATGAGATATTTTTTCTTTAAACACTTGACCTTAATAGTATTGGCTTTTTTTTCCCCCTAATGTAGGTTAATCTCACACATACACAAAACATATTTTTACTTGGTCTTTCTTTTGATTACCGAGATTTCATTTCACAAGATTATTCCTCCCGAATCATCCTGTTGTACCACTAAGAGAAAACTCAATCTGATTGTCTTTATTGAAAGTATATTAATGTGATGCGCGAAATTGAGAAACATGATATTATCAATATAGAGTGGTAGAAGAATATTGGTGCAATTATTACCAGCAATCTTGATCATAACTCACAAGATCGTCGAGGCAAGCTTAATTTATGAAATTGGAAATCTTAAGCTATTGATATCCATTATATTTTGTATAATAGTAAACGTCTAATGACAATCATGATATGGCCAAGACGTTGCTCGATATCACTAAGATGATCAAATAATTACATCTCTAACAGCATGTGGCCGAGAAGGCTCTGATACCATAACAATATATCATATTTTGTTCAAGAACTAGTCAATAATATAGTTGGGATATTAATATTTTGATTCTTCTAATTTAGGTTACTATTTGGAACTCATGTCTTCATAATTGCAAGTTTCAACTGCAATTTTTTTCTTAATGCTGTGAGAGTGATGCATCATCAAAATAACACCTCATCCTTGAAGCTTAAAATCCTTACCCACCAACGTTTACACCTCACAAGATGAGTATTTTTAAATTATTATTGAACTTGGAATTTTCACACCCAATCTCCTCCAAAGATTTTTGAACTGTTTGCTCTTATTTAACTTCTTTAAAATCATTTAAGACGCCCTACATAAAGACCCTGATTTATTTTATGATATAATAAAAAATTTCTTCTATTTTTTACTAGATGTGACTTTGACAACTGATGATGAAATTAGTGATGAGATCAGTAAAAAAACTCGTTCTCAACATTCAAAATAAGGATATCATCAAAGTGAGAATGTCACCAATATTAACCTGCCAATATCAGACATATCTAATGTAAATTTCTTCTATTTATAACTTACTTCTAACATGTTTCACTGATACCAAGAAAAAATTCCTAAACCTTGTTAGCTTTGTTTCACCTCAACTCTTGAAATGTGCTATTTGATCATATCATCATTGCAATGCTAAAATAGTACTAAAATAAAAGGAGAAAATATAGAGATAAAAAGTGATAATTGAAAATCATATTTTTAGAAAAATTAATTATAAATAAAAAATTTTAAATAGGAAATTTAAATTTAATTAGTACATAAATATCAATTTCACATTAATTTTAGTACATATTAGATTAAATAATTTAAAAAATTTCCAATTAAATCCAAAAAATTGATTAAATCTTTCTGTTCCCAAAAAAAAAAAAAAAAAAAACCATAGATCACATAATAATCCGTTGATCCTCAACCAAAACTACATTTTGATCAATAAATTATTCTTACATTAGTTTAGTTAAAATTTTATTTATTGAGTAAAACAACACACAATACCAAACACAAAAATTTAAGATAAGCCTCACTAAATATTTTTTATATAATTCATATGCTCACATTTATATGTTAATAGCTATTTTTTATTTATTATTATTTAAGAAAATAAATAAATTTGCTCTCATCATGAGTTTGAATTAATAAAAAGGAAGGAATGCTAACGTGGTACTATAAAACAATACTTACATCAATTTTTTTTATGTTTATATATATAAAACAATACTTACATAAATTTTTTATGTTTATATATATTAAAATTTTCAATCATAAATAATCATGTGTTCTATTTTTAAAATATTATTATTTAATTATAAATATACATAAAAAATAAGCTATAATAAAATATAAAACCTTGACCTAAATATTTTTTATTAATAAACTTTTCTTCATATTTTTTATTTTAGTCTTACTTTAGTGAAATAAATTAACTAAATTAAGTTATTTAATGGCTTCCAAAGATTGAATCCATGTGTCATTTTCATATTTATTTATTTATTATCAATAACTACATTTTATATAACGTGAGATATTTTCCCTCACATCCTCAACCTCAGCATTTTTTTTTTCCTTTTAATGCAAGTTAATCCCACCGACATTCTCCTTTTACCATTTTAATTAGCTACTCACATAAAGATTGAAAGTTAAAAATAGATGCAGTCACATTTTCGTCTATGAATCACTTTTTCAATACTAATATCACAAAATGAAAATATTATAAACGCTATTGTTTCACTTCTGTATAATCATGACAAATATTGAGAGGCGTTTCATCAACCAAAATAGTCCATAATAGTCTATAATAGGCCAAAACTATAGGTGAAGGGAGACACTTTTCATACCCTTAGAACTCTAACATGTTATATAACTCTATATTTGCTACACCACTTAGCAAAAGAGAAAGGAAGAAAACCACCCACGATTATTTTAAAGACACCAAACTCATGGAATAAGGAAACACTAAACAAGGCAACTGCTTAGAACTCACATCTACATGACTGCAAGCTTTCAACACAATGTTTTTTTCAATGTAGTAAAAGTAGACTTCATCTTGCAGCATTATCATTAGCACCCCATCTTTGAAGCATAAAAGCCCTATCCACCAGCTTACACCTTGCAAAACGAGTTTCTTCAAATTGTCACTAAACTCGGAATTTCCACACCCAACCTCTTCCAAGGACTTCCAAGCCTTCTGTCCCCATTTAGCTTCATCATAGTCTTCAAGAAACCACACATGAAGACCTTGTTTTGTTATCATGACATAGTGAAGAATCCCCTTCCATTCTCCAATACATGTGACTTTGAATTCTGGGAATGAAGTTGGTGGTGAAATTACTAAAGAGGACTCCTTATCAACATCGAAAGTGAGAACATCATCAAAAGTAAGGAAGTCACCAATATCAGCCTGCCAATATAAGACACCCTCAATGTAAATTCCTGGGACATTCTCCCGTTACCTCGTGATTATAAAGGCAGTTTGCTTTTGATCTTTTCCATGATTTTGTTTCTGACGAATATATTTCAAAGTATGTATGGAACTGTATCTCATCTTCATCACTCTCAACTGCATCTTGCTTGACTCTTACCAATTTGAATTTGTAGAGATGTCTACGTGGTCTTTGTAAGGGTCAAAAGCCAACGCAAAACTTCCAAACCTGTCAAAATCAGGACAATCCAGAGGAATCCATTGTTTGTTCGTTGGGTTGCAAATGTAAAAAGTTGTTTTCGTAGGACAAGTCATGAAGCCACAACTACGACAACATATAAGACCGTTGCATGAAGACAACACAACAACATCTTCAGGAAGGAAACTAAAGACATTGCGGTGAACTACAGATTTTGGTCTTCTGTTGTGATTATCATGACGATGATCGAAAATGTGAATGTTTATATAACTTTGGCCTTTCAGATCTTCATCAGTCCACATCTTCTCCTGAAAAATGAAACCTGATAGGGCCAACTCCGTCTTCTCTATCTGAGCTTTAATGAACAGGCGATCAGTAGAAATAGATTGACAGTATTCCTTAGAAACACACTTGAAACCAAGCAAAGTCTTCGCTGGAAGATGAGATAGAACATTTAAGAGCTTGTTCGTGGTCAGTGAGTCTTGAAGCTCCATTTCCTAAAATAGCGGCAGAAAAAATTATAACAGATTAAGTAGTTCAATATTCAGTTGCTTCAACACAATATTCCCATGTTTGCCTACTCTTTCTCGCCAACCAAACAGGCCCATGGATTTGAAAGGAAAGATTGCTAGAAGTCAAGTGAAACGTGTTTAAACGGGAGAAAATGGGAGGGAAAACCAACCATTTAAAAGGCGGTTTAGAACACAGAGTTCAAAAACATCATAAAACGCTGAAGAAAAAATTAGAAGTGAGATTAGACCAGCTATAGCTGGGTCTAAAACCTTAAATACCCAAACTATCTTCTTTCTCTTTTTCTGCCAGACAAACCAAGACTGATTTGCCTTCATCAAATCGAATTGGTTTCAAAAACCACACAGATTAAAGAAAATGATTGCCGAAAGCGTACCTTCACTTCACACTTCTTTGTTTACCCACTGTTTCTTGCTAACCCAACAGCTTCCTTTCACTGATAAGCACAAAATGGGCGTATATAAATAAAAATACGGAGTGGAGAAATGGAAATCCAAAAAGTCACCAGAACGTTACCGTCAGAATCGCTGAAGACTTACCGAGCGGGAACGAAGAGGGAGAGGTGGGAAGGGATTTTAACCGACTCTTGCAACTTTTAGAAGATTCTAGCGAGTCACTGAACCGGTTAAGACAGTGGTTGAGTAAAGTAATTAGAGTTAGATGACTGATTTTTTTTCTCGCATTTATTGCGTCTTAGAGAGATTTAAACTCACAACCTTATATTTAAAAAAATCTCACAGCACTTGTTTAGTCAGATTCAATTTAATCATAAGTAAAATAATATAATTTAATTAAAATTTATAAAAAAATATTTATACATTTATACATAATTTTGAAAGAGAATGTAAAATAGGGAGAATGATTAAGATTAATATAATCTTGGTTCCTTAAATTTATTTTATTTTAATTTTAGTTCTTCAAATTTTAAATTATAAATTTTGGTCTTTCAAGAAGTAAAATAGTACAAGTATTTATTAGATTATAAGAACTAATGTTTTAAATAAAAAAAATTCAAGAAACCAAAACTAAATAAGAACAAACTTAAAATATCAAAGTTTGTATTAACTCAAAAAAATGATTTTTTTATATTAAGGACAGTATCGAAACCAAGTTTTTTAATTATATTTATTATGTCAATTATTTGTCCTGTTTTTAAAAATATTTTTTTCAAAGTAGGCAAGGCAGGCGGGATTGAACTCTGATAAAGGCCACCAATAGACGACTATCATGCTAGTGTACCACAGAGACGCTGGCCTATTTTTAAAATATTATTATTTAATAAACTCATAAAAAAATTAGATACATGACTATATGTAATTGAAAAATTTTTTTATTATGTTTAATAAAAAAATTAACATAATAAATGTAAAAAAATTTGCTGAAATATTTTCCTAATATTAACTTATAATAAAATTAGAAATATCCTTTATCATTAACATATTAAATTGTATCTATTTCACTTTCAAATGCATTGACCAAGAAAGCTCGGGACATGGCTACCGGGACTTTCCCTTGCAAGGACAGACTAGAGTCCTTCCTTCGTCTTGCAGTTTTGACAAAGAAAGCAACCTGCCTGGTGGTTTTTATTGTTATTGCTTCTTCTTGTTGGAAAAAATAATTTTTTTGGGTATTAATAAGAACATTATATAATTTTTTTGACCTCCTGAGACGCAATTTTCACTTCAAACCTTATGCCATAAATGATTTCACACAGAGGCATGATCGTGTTTTTTCTTCTTAAATTATTTTGCTTCAAAAATTTTCGGGAAGATGTAATATTTGCCAAAAACATTAAAATA